TTTTAGATTTGTGAATTGATTTCAGTTCTTCTATTCTTCTGCTCTTCACTGGTTCATTAAACTTGGTAACTTCGTGTTTCTGCAAAGTTTGTTGGAATCAGTAAGATTCTTTAGACACATATTAACAACAATTCCTCTTTAAGAAAAATATTTCGTATATTTTTTTAAAAAATCTGTTTCTGATTCTAGTTTCGTTATTAGTTTTAATTTTCTAGTTGTGAAAATGTTCTTAAACTTTGTTTTCTTACAAAGATGTTCAAAGTTTTGTTCTAAGTATGTTTGGAATACAAAATGAACAACAACAGATATACAAGTATCCACATGGACATCATAAATATTGTATCAAACACTTATATATTAAAAAAATACAATATTATATAGTGCAGGGGATATTGTCCAAAGTTTAAAATTGTTACAACAATTTCGATCGAAATTCTGATATATTTCAAACATTTTTCCCTTTTTAAATCATATAAAACAATATGCTTTTTGGTATATATTTATTTTATCGTGTGATTTATGACCAAATTTCTTATCGTTGTTGACTTCTGCATTGACGCCTGATTATTTAGATCTCACTATATCTAAGATAAAATATTTAACTTTAATTATACCGAGATAGAGATTATAAGTACACAAATATAGAGGGGTTAGAGGGGACGGACCGTCAAATCCAGTAGGCATAAGCATAGTTTTCAAAAGTAACTTTTTAATTTGCAATGAATTTTTTTTAGTAAGATTTTATTTAGACATGTTATTTGTTAATAAACATTCAATGAGAAGTGTTATAAATAAATTGTATCGTAAATGTTCGTACAACATTTTCTCAATAAGCTTGCAATCAAGCAAATTAAATAAGTTTCTTCAAACTTGCAGTTAAGTTGGACTTTGAAATTTGTAGATGTTCATTAAACAATACTTTCAAAGAGTTGAACACATATAAATTTATTGCCACAATTTTCTTGTTCAAACAATAACAATACAAATTAGTAAACCTAATTTGTTACACCACATGAACAATTACTATAACATAATAAATAAAAGAGATCATGTAAGTTGTACACTTTTTCGTGACAACATACATATGATACAATCATAGTTTTTTTTTTCTTTTACTATAATTAGTTTTTAACGCGACAATTCTTCCTGATTTCTCCAGCATTTCCCGTAAGAAGTTGAATGGCTCCCATTTTCTTCATGGATTTTGCAAACTCAATAAAGAAAGTCTTGTCTTTTAGTAATTTCTTGATGACAATTACTGAGTCTTTGTCATTGAGAAGTGCAGCATCTGATTGGAACAACCCTTTGTTTTGATTAATAAGAATGTTGAAATAATTGCTATCAAATGAAGTTGAACTTAAAGGGTCCATTTCCACAGTAGTATTTGGATTGGCTGGATTTGGGCACAATTTCTTCAATGATTCAGCATAAGTAGCATTAAGAGTTGGATCCATATCACCTTTGCCAGTGAAATTGAAGAGTCTCCTTGAGAATGCTCCACAATGAGACACACCAATTGTGTGAGCACCTACATATATACATCAAGTATATTATTACAAACGTGTGTATACACTGACAGTATAAATTGATTTATTATGTTGTTCGCTTTGTAAGATACATATAATATTTTTTATACCTGATAACGCAACGAGATCATCGACATTTAGGCCTTTGTTTGAAAAGATTTGTTTAAGGGTTGCAAAATCTGAGAATGGTGAAGGTAAGTTTCCATTCACATCACTAGCAAGGGAAATATTCCCATCTTTTCTTCCGGTCTCCACTTCCCACATTGAAGTTTTAAACTACGCACATGCATGCAAAGACTTAATTATATATAGAAGAGAATTTTTTTTAAAAAATATATATTGTATAAATTAATTTCTTGAATCTCCTTATTATATAACTTACACGAAAAGAAACAGCATCACGAGCAGATAAAGCTAAAATGTCAGCACAAGAAACAATGCCAGGACATTTAGCCTCAACTTGTCGCTTGATATCATCAATCACCTCGAAACCACCCAAAGAGAGATTTGGCCTAGCCTCCTTCTCTGAATCAACTGTTCCCACTTTGTCTAGCAATATGGATGCATCACACCCCTACAATGTCAGTGTACATAACTTAAATAATCCTATTATGAAATAACGTACATATGCTTAGTAGTAATATTCTAATTGGTACGTACCCTAACAAAACAATCATGGTAGTGAACTCGAAGTAATTTAGCACCCAAGGTAGCATCATTTTTAGCTTTGCTCCAAGTGATATCTCTAATAAGTTGTTCAGCATTTGGACAACGAGTACTCTTATAGAAGTTCTTGCGTGGTACCTTAGCTGCACCCCCAGCAACTCCACCAAGAACAAGACATAGAAAAACAAGACAAGTTAGTACTAATTGACTTCTCATTTTGTCTTAATTCTTAGCTAGGAATTAAGTGAAGGACTTAAGCCTAATTAGAATGATTAATTAAGATGATGAAGAAGCCTACAATAAGAGTTTCCTTTTATAGGCAAAGATACAAGGTGTGATACCTAGTGGGAAGACATATAAAAATAGTTGTTCACTTAAAATTGGCCTTAGTTTGTGGGTCGTATCGATCAAGTTTATCTTCTCAAAAGTCTCCTAAAATATACACTAGTACTTTTTATTATTATTATCATCAAAAGAACAATTTTATACATAACTGACAAAAAAATACTTAGTCTCATTTATTTTCATTAAGATATAAGACGTTTGAATTTAAATAGACATCTGAATATTAAGATATAGAAGTATGAATTTCAATATTAAGATGTTGCATGAAGATTTAAATATTAAATGATTTTGGCTGTTTTTTTTTCAAAATTTGAATGTATAAATTTGTCATTGTTTAAAAAATAATAAATATAAAATACTAAAATTTATCTAATATTATATCAATAAAATATTTTAAAAAATTATATGACAGTTGATGATGATGGCGGCTTATTGTGGTGATTGTGTGTGTCAATTTGAGATGATGTTGGTTTTGTGCAGTATATTATGCTATAATGGTTGACAGTAGTCATTAATTGTCGATGTTGGTAGTGGTAATTGTAATTAATAGCAAAATGATATTGATAATAATAGTGGTGGTGAATGTTGTTGGTGGTTAGCAATAAATAATGCTGACTAATAATGTAATTATTGATAGTGATTAGTTGATGTAATAATGGTTAGTAATAGTGGTGATGATTGCAACTAATGACGATTGATCTTGGTGATTTGGCGATAGTGATGATTGAAATTGGGATGATGATCGTGGTGGTACTAATAATCATGGCTAAAATGATGATTGGTGAGGGTGGATGAAAATAGATAGAGTAACAGTAAATTGTCATAATATGTAGAAATTCATAAATAAGCATCGTAATGATATTAGAACTTCATTCAAAATCTTAATCATTCGACCTATACTAAGATCAGAATAACTAAAATTAAGACAATCATTAAAACAAATATGAGTTCTTAATGTACTTGACACATCATATCGCTATCCCACTTTATTGTCAACTTATTTAATTTATAACTATACACGAGAATTATGAAAAATAGCATTTTTTTAATAATGTTAAACATGTCATATTATTTACACAATCGTAAAAATTTGTTATTAGACGTATATCGAATTCGAGGGCAAAATCCTTTGAGTTAAAAAGATTTAAATCGATCAGTACGTAATAAAAAATACAAACACGTCTCTTTTGTCAATTCCACGAACAGACAATGATTTCCAAAATATAATGGTTAACCATAATTAACTTGAAAAATCAACTAAAATTGGGTTTTTTTTTCTTGATATATTACTAATAGTTTATTTATTTTGTTTGACTAATTGTCTAAATCAAACAAAATTAGAAGAACTAGTGGAAGAAGATTAATTTATTTATTAGAGAATGAAATGATAATCGTTTTATATTATTATATACCACTAGCAAAGCATATATATATATATATTGCCAAAATCTTTTTGCTGAATATTAAGTCAAAGAACAATTAAGTAATCAAGATTGATCTAGTGGTGTTTTAAATAACATTAAAAATTACATTATCTTAAAATAATTAATTTACGAGTATTTAAGAGAGTTCACGGGTCTTTGAAATAGTCAGCGGTAGGTTTTTTTTATCGATAAACAACATGTAGGTATAAATTTATTTGTTTTCTTAATTCTTTTTGAGGATCGTTCATAATATATTTTTTGAATTAGGATGATTTAAATTTTCTTGAGATGTAATTTATTTGATTTCCGTAAAATGATTATGTGGATTTTGTAAAGTATTTGATTGTCAAGAAGAGTTCAACCACATCAATATTCGAGATCTTGATCTTTATAAAATACACAAGAGTCTATAGAATATTTTGGGATACGATATTTTGATATCTTTATGAAATAAGAATTTTATGAATCTATTTAAAGTATTTGATTATAAAAAAGAGTCGACTATCTCGATATCAATATAGCATTCTTAATGCTTCTTGGAAAAGCTAGTTTTTCATTTCTAATTACTTGAACACAAAATTAATCAAAATAAGAAGAAAAATTAGTGTTAAGTTACGCGTATGTAATTATAGTCATTATATTATATGTTAATAAATTCAACTGTAGTATGGTTGGCATGTTATTGCGTATTCAAACGGTACATAATCTAAAATTCAACACATTTTGACTTTGAACTTTCATATACCATATAGTAAAGTATTATATATATTTTTATATCCCTCCACCACCACGTCCAACAAACCCAAAACAGAATATTACTATCTTTAGTTTTCTACATGCACTAAATTATAACGTGATTTAGTGTCCACCCAATTAAAAAAATACACCGACGCATCGATAATGTGATGATCATAATTACGAAGTACGTATATAAATATGTCATATGTATTTTAAAGATAAATATTTGATTTTAAAAAATAATAATAAAATATCTTTGGTTAGCAAGAATTGTATATCTTAAATAATTTATCTGAAAAAATTGTATATAATAGCAAATCATTAGTTTAAATTAAATGATATAATCATAGTTTGATTTAATTGTACCCCATGGAAATCTGTTGCTATTTCGTCTCTCTCTAGTGAATCTCCTCGCCGCTCTCGTTCTCGCTGGGTAGTCTTGCTTGTCTCTCTCACTTTTATACAAACACAAATGTCTAAAATGTGTTTGTGTTCGTATAAAACGAAAGAAAATTGTATATATACACATATTTTTACTCCCCTCGCTACAAGAAAACTGTAAATTACATAGGGATTTTCCTGGCAATTAGTATTGAAAATTTGCATGAAAATAAGTTTCCTGTGAATTTTCATACTAATTCCCAGAAAAATCCCCATGTAATTCACAGCTTTTTATAGTGTCTTTCTCCCCTATCCCAAATCTTCCTGCAAATTATTTTCATACTAATTCCCAGAAAAATTCTCATGTAATTCACAGTATTTTATAGTGTCTTTCTCCCCTTTCCCAGATCTCGCGCGCCACTATCCCAGATATCATTCGTTACTCTCACTCGCCTCTCTCACTTTATACAAACACAAATGTATACATTGTGTTTGTGTTTGTATAAAGAGAGAGAAAATTGTATATACAAATACAAATGCATATATTTTCGTCATATACAATTATATTATGATTGTACAAATACGATTTTCCCCTGCCAGCATTCTCTTGTCTTTCTCTTTCTCGCTTTACAAAAATACAAATTATACAATTGACTTTTTGTATATGTATACCAAAACCAATTGTTTCTTTTGTATATATGTATAGTGAAATAGTCATAGCTAGGGGTGTACAAAATCGAATGGAAAACCAAATCGAACCCCCAACCGAGTCAAACAAAAAAAAAAATCTGACAAGTGATTTGGTATTGAAAAAAAAACAAGTATATTTGGGTTGGTTTGGTTTTAACTAAAAAAAACCCGAGATCAAACCAATCCGACATTAGATATATAATTTTAAAATTTTATTTTATACATAAAAATATTTACTTTGATATCATTTTAAAATATTCCTGATACTACTTCATAATTTTTATCTTTTAAATATATTATTTCAAGTTTAAAACTTAGAGAACTTGGAATTGTCCAATAAAGATTATAGTTCATAGATGTTGATAATTATAATAAAATTTAAATCAAAATCAAATTAATAATTATGCAAAAAGAAAATCAATTCAACACTAAGAATTACAAAATATTGAATATTTTTTCTTTAGTTTTAAATTAGTTTAGATAATTAAAATACATAATCTAATTTTAATTTTCCTTAAATATTTAGTAATGTAACTAATACTTATTAAATTTATTTTAGCATGATTTAGTACTTTTAAATTATGATAATTTTCGTTATGACGTTATAACATTTATTTTATATGATGATTTCATTATTCACTTTTATTGAATATTTTTGTGTCATCAATACTCATCTCATAATTTGTGTTAATTTTTTTAAGAAACACCTTAGATAATTGTATTTTGGTTAGACTAAAGAAATATTTGAAGCACAATTCGAAATTTATTAGTTTGGTTTGATTTATAAATTTAAAAATTAAACACAATAGTTTGGTTTGGTATTTGAAAAAACCGAACCAACTCGAGGTTGAGAAACCCAAAAAATTTGAATTTTATTAGTTTGGTTTAGTTTATAAATATAAAAGTTTTACACGAATGGTTTGGTTTGATATTTGAAAAACCCGATCATGTACACCCCTAGCCATGAAAAACATAAAAATTGCTACGGAGCGCAATTATGCAAACTATAGTTATAACATACAATATAATTTTTTGTGTTTGCTATATGTGAAAGTTGCTTTTTTTTTTAATCTTTTGCAGAAAGATGGATAGTAGATCAATATTTACAAGCTAATATTCGCACATCTAAGAACAAGTAAATTAACTAACAAAAAAGTTTGTCTTCTTATCTGAGTCTACTATGATGTCCACTTGATAAGAGCCCTTTGCACCATTAGGCAAACACTGAAAAGATTGAAACTTGGTTATTCTGATCATTGTTTGCCAATTTTGTTGGATGATGTACAACCATATATATGAGTTTTTGTTCTATTTATAGTGTTCACATAGTCATACAAAAGGTTAAGATAATATGAAGGTTAAAGGGTGTGAGAGTTAAATCTATACTGGTGAGAGATAGTGAAAGATAAACTATGTATCATGGAAAAATCATAGTTCAACTATATCCAAACTTAAAAGTACATCATTAAAGTATTATTTTTAGCGGAAAACATTATTCAAATATTTAAAAGTGAACAATTTTCATCTATCTACTTGAATTTATCAGAAAACTAAGATCCCACAAAATTCAAGTTATCCCTTCTTAGTTATTCTTAGCTACGTTAAATATACTATGGTGAACTTTTTCGGTAATTGAATTTAGCATTATGCAAAATCTTTTAAATTGACAGTTTTTTTTCATGTAATTTTGATATTAAAAATATTATTAGTTGAAATATGTTTCTTCTCAATTGAATATGTTGAAAGCAACATTTGTTGGAGGCTTCATCTTCTAATAATGTAGAATGAAACTCAAATACGAGACATAATCAATATACTGATCACTTCCACATAAGATGGTCCCAAATATTTATTGATCTAAATATAGTTTGGGTATGAAAAAGGTAAAGTTAATTAAGTTTCATCTTCTTTTCGTTACTAAATGAGAAAAAGAGCAGATCATGTATCCTCACACCTTCCAAACATTTTTTGTTTCACTAAACAATAGCGTCTAACATTTTAAATATTTTTTTCAAGAACTTCTTATAGCATGTAATGAAATTATGCATGAAAACTTTTGTTGATAATTACGTGAACTGCTCCTGTTTTTGTAGGATCTATTAATTTTTTTTGACAATATCTAATAAAAGAATGAAAATTGTTCACTTTTATAAACTTAAAAGATGTTTTATGCTAAAAATAAGATATAGTTTAACTCAAGTAACTTCTTAGGAATTCTGGATATCCACCATAGTTCTATCATTTCATAGCATAATTTATTTTTGGACAAATTACACAATTACATATACATTTGTGCTATATTGACTAAACCAATCTAAAATTTCACACAATTATATATTATCCTACTACTTATTAATTATGTACCATATTTCAAGTTAGATTACTTTTTTCACTCCAAATCCTTCCCCTTCCTCGTTCAGTTCCCTAGTGAAGTGGTGGAAGAGGGGGGTGTTGTGTGTATACATTATCAAATATATTAATATTGTCTAAGTGCATAGAGACGTAATATAATACAACTCAAACTATAAGACTCCAACAAGTACTATATTAGGAATATTGGATTACGAGATATTTTTGACCAACTTAAGCATGAGAAAATAAAAAAAAATATTTTTCTTCATACTAAACACTCTTTATTTACGTCGTTTTCCTTTTTTATTTCAATGTCATTAGTTTTTCCTCTTATGATTTTAATTTTCTTTTAATTTAAATTATTGTGTTCCGTTACTCACTCCTAATGGCGTGTAATTCAGCAAAATAAATGTCACATAAATTTAATCAACAATTAAAAAGATATGACACATACAGAGGTCTATTATGCTTTTTATACCGAGGGAATAAATTAAACAAATTACTTAGGAAAAAGGGTCTGATATACCCCTCAACTTTGTCATTTAGACCTGATATACCCCTTGTTACGAAAGTGGCTCATATATACCCCTACTTGTAAACAAATGACTCACATATACCCTTTTCCTCTAACGGAAATGAAAAAAAAATAATTTTCATCTAAATTTTTATTATTTTTATGAGTAAATTTAATCCTCGTCAAATATATATTTTTTGACTTTTTTTGTTTCAATGACTAATTTATAATTATATTTTGATAATCAAATTTATTTATGTTTCACTAATATTCTTGTAAAACTTATTGTAGATGACCAAAATTTTTCTTCGAATACATAATTAAATTATAATACACACAAAAAAATAGTTTAATTTTTTATTCTTTAAATTAAGGAATGAAAGAAAAAATAAAATAAGAATAACAAATTCAAATAATTATAATAAAAGAAGTCAAAAAATAATTTATGTATGAAAAAAATTAAAATATACCTTGTACTTTGATAGAAGAATCATATATACCCCTAAATAATTTTTAAAAAAAAATTAGAAGTAATAAATATAAATTTAAAACTAATTTTTTAACTTCCGTTAAATTAAGGGTATATGTGAGCCATTTTATAACGGCAGGGGTATATGTAAGCCGTTTGGATAACGGCAAGGCCATATATGAGGCACTTTTATAACGAGGGATATATCAGCTCCAAATGACAAAGTTGAGGGGTATATCAGACCCTTTTCCCAATTACTTATTTAATCAATCATAAACATTACATCACTCATCAATACACAAAAATCAATTATTATTTTTTTCCATGTGCCGTCGGAATTCCACCTTGAATCTCAACTAAATTAAATTTAAATTGCACACTGCATGATTCATTTAAGGTGACGCTCCCAACATAATTTTCAAACATATCCAAAACTCAAACCACAACATCTATCTCTCTATTTTTATACTCCTTGTGCAACTAATTAAATAAAAAGAAGCAAACAAAGCTCAACCAAATTCACACACACAGGGCTTGCTTAAAAGAATTAATTAATTAACCACATTGCATTTTTTCCTAATTTCTCCATTAGATCCAGTCAATACTCCAATAGCTCCCATTCTCTTCATTGATTGGCTAAATTCAGTGAAGAATTTTCCATCAATAAGCATCTCATCAACAATATTTTTAGCTCCTTTATTAGTCAAAAGTGCAGCATCTGATTGAAAAAGGCCCTTTTGTTGTTTCAAGACAGAAAAATAATTATTGTCAAAGGTTAAAGAACTCCCAGGATCCATTTCAACAATTGTTGTGTTGTCTAAAAGGCTTTGACATTTTGTTTTCAAGAAAGTTACATATGTTGAATTTAAGGAAGGATCTGAATCTCCTTTTCCTGTGAAATTGTATAGCCTGTTGCTAAAGAGATTACAATGTCCAACTCCAATTGTATGTCCCCCTGCAAAATCCCAACAATCCCATCTCATGTTTAAATAGATTTAAGTAACATATATGCACTTGACAATGTAATGAATTTTTATTTTACGTATAATACATGAATATGATCCTTAACTTGGTTTCAGCGGACGACTACATTCTTCAATTTTGAATGTGCACAACTAGACATTTAAATTTGTGTAAAATTAAACAAGTAAATACACGTATCCTACATGACATATATAATGCGTTGGACGACACAAAATTTTGTCACGTAGGAAGAATGTGTCTATTTGTTCAGTTTTATACAAATTTAACTGTCTACTTGTGCACACCCAAAGTTAAAGGTCATAGTTGTCAACTGACGCCAAGTTAAGAGTCAAGTGTGGTCTGGAGAGAGTAGAGTGTACGCAGACCTTATAATCACTACCTCGTAGAGGTGGAGAGATTGTTGTAAAAGAAGGGCTACAATGACAAGTTAAAATACATTTACTGTGAAAATTTTAGGGACAAAGGACAAATATACCTCTGAACTATCGTAAATGGTATGCAGATACCCTTTGTCATACTTTTGGGACATTCATGCCCCTGCCGTCCAAAAACTAGAGTGTATATACCCTTCGCTCTAACAGAAGACTATTAGGGACACGTGGTGCAATCTTATCTGTCGGGTCGACGAATAAAATTATTACTCGTGTATGTATATATGCCTAGTTTTTAGAAGGCAGGGGCTGCACCAATGTCCCAAGAATTAAGAATATGACGAAAGATATCTACATTACGATAGTTCGGTGATATATTTATCTTTTTTTCCCAAATTTTATTCTATCCACTATGTATAGAGAATATTACATTCTTGAATTTTTAGTATTAATTCCATAAACCAACCTGATAAAACCACAAGATCATGAACAGTGAGACTTTTGTTGGCAAAGGACTGTTTGAGGGAAGTGAAATTGAAAAATGGTGATGGGATTTCAGAGAGTGCTTCTGAAGACTTTGAAATTCTTCCATCTCTTCTTCCAGTTACCACTTCCCACATTGGTTTCTTAAACTGCATCACCACATCATGTCATCAAAAAGTTATACATATCATACGAGAGATAATAGATAACTAATCTCGAGAATTACTGTGAAATATTATAGCATGTTATTGTATTAGGTATAAGTAATCTATTTTATGATTATCTATGAAATATTATAGCTAAACGTTTTATGACACTGACTGTCAGTGTATAGAAATTAAATTTATATCGAACTACTTACTTGGAACGAAACAGAGTCTCTAGCTGCTAATGTCAATATGTCAGCACACGATACGACTCCTTGACAAGTGTTTTCTAGTGCAGTTTTTATTTCATCAATCACATCAAAACCTCCTAGGCTTAGATTTGGTATTGCAGCCTTCTCTGCACTGTTGTTTGCTGTGGAGTCTATCAATATTGAACCATCACAACCCTAAAAGAAAATTCGTGTATAAATTATTTCATCGCAATGTATAAAATTATGTAACGATAATAATTGAGTAAATTTGAAATAATGTATGGAGAATACATATGTACCCTGACAAAGCAATCGTGAAAATGCATCCTCAACAATTTAGCAGGCAAGGTAGAATTAGTAGCAACACGTTTCCAAGTGATGTTTTGAACGATTTGTTCAGCTTGTGGACAACTCGACTTGTAAAAATCTTTTCTTAATTGACCATTACTATGTCCTATTGCAACAAAAACTAGTATAGTGAAGAACAAAAACTTCAATATTCCTCCTTCCATCTCCTTTACTCTTTCTTTGCAAAAATAATTTCTCTAAAATTACTCTTAATTAGGCAGATATATTACCTTAATATTCTCACTTATAATTAAGTAATTAGTGTTTAGCCCTCCTATATATAGAGAAAGACCTAGTGATTAACTTGACCAAGTACTAATCCAAACACATGAAAACAGCTAAACAACTTTTTAATATTAATTATCAACTACAACTTGCTTCTTAGTTACTAGTTCAGATTTTAGATATATATTCACTATGGGTTTTATTGTCGCGAAAATATTTAGTGGTGATTGAATTAATGGCATTGCATTTAGAGTCACTTAAGCTTTTAGCAATAATTATATAAAGCGGTGGCTATAAATATAAATCCATATTATTGTTGCCACTAAATTTAACATAGCGGCAATTATATTATTATAACAAATTAAAATACTTTATTTGTTATAGTGATTGAACGCTGATTTCTTATTGTATTCACATGTTTCAAGTTCCATGTATGCATTGTAACAATTTTTTACATAATCAGATGACTTTAAAGTAGTTATAATTAAAAAAAAAATCATTTGAACATTAACATTAATCGTTAACCTATTAAAAAGAAACAATATATATCCGATAGGTAGAGATGGATCAAGAAATTAAGTTTAATGAGTTTATAAACTTCTAAATTTCTTATTTAGCAATAAATTTGTTGTATTTATAAATTTATTTTTGATATAACACATAAATATACTTTTTACGGTAGCGTTAACTGACATTTATATGTCCTTCAGTTTTGAGTGTGTACGAGTAGGTATTTGAATTTGTTTCAAATCGAGCACATAGATCACATTCGTTCTACGTGAAAATTTTGTGTCCTGTATGTTGTCCTACGTAACAATTTTATGTCCTATATGGCGCCCTACGTGTTTTACGTCATGTAGAACGTGTATGTCTCCTTGTTCAATTTTACGTAAATCAAGTGTCTACTTCTATATACCTAAAGTTGAAAAACATAAATGTCATGTGAAACCAAGTTAAACGGCATATTTATATGTTATGCCATATTTTTATATATATTGAATTTTCTTTTTTTTGTAGAGTTTTCACACCCCTCAACTAATATTTTATATTTGTGGTTGTGTTAGATTAAAAAAAAAATACTTTTCAATATCAACTACACCCACAAGTATATATTTACCCAATGAAGAAATCTTGTAATTGATACTTCAACCAAATTAATTTTTTTTTGTTTTATGTAACGTAGAAGTTTTGGTTTCAGTTAGAATACTTTAGGCTAAGGGAGCAATCAAAGTATTGATTATATAAAAAATTGTCGAGCCAATAATTACATTGAAAATGAAATTGCCATTTTGCTTGAAGAAATTAAAGACCTTAAATTTAGAGGTTGCTTGGGTGTGATAGATAAAAAAAATGAAATAAATTTTTAGTACCCTCTCAATTCTTTGTTTGGTTATAAAATGTGAAATAATTTATTTTGAATTAATAATTATGACTTAGATAAATTATTTATACTTGTGGGTGGAATACTAATCTCGAAATAAAAATATAAAATAACAAAAGTATCCCTTTGACTACTCTTTTACAAACAAATGACTTCTTGGAGGATATTTTTATAAATAAATAATTAATTTAAAATTATGATATAGATATTTGACAAACCAAACAACCAAATAACAAAGATCAACTTGTTATGGTTTTGAAGGGCATTAATTAGTGATTTAAATTTGATAGAATCGGCCTTCATAGATTTTGACGATATATTCATTGGAATTCTAAAATTAAGGGTTCAACATTAATATCTCTTAAAGTTTTACACCAGCTATCCCTATTTAGTTGTTTACTTTATAAATGACATACATATTAAGATAATACTAATTAGCACAATAAAATTACAATTTTTTCTTATTAATTATGGTTTCAAAAGGTATGAACTAAAACTTGGAAATTTCAAGAAGTTGAAATTAGGGTATAATTGAAAAAAAATTGTCCTTTCTTAATTTGTCAAAATAAACTAGTAATAGGGATAACTAGAAGAAGAAATATGAACAAGTAAATAAAAACAGAGGAGGCAATATATTTTTTCGCAATGTATTTAAATTTATATGAAAAGTTATGTGTTTAAGAATTGCATGGATAAGTATCCAATTAATTTATGGTTGGTAGAGTAGGTTTAAGGATCTTTTCTGTAACAAATTAAATTTCTACCAATGATTTTGTAATAATAGATATATATATTTGCATTTTAGATGAAGAGATTTGTTAGGTCCACCAAGTTAGCTTACGATACTTACGGCTATTCTATTCTAATTTCTACATATTATTTTTTAAAAAAAAAAATCAAATCATTAACTTCAACAATTATGGTTCCATAATCTAATTAGACTGTTAATTAAGTTAAAACTTTCACAAGTTCCTACACTCACTACTAATAACTGAAGTAGATACAAACGTAATTACAACTCCCATAGTTCCATTTCAAGTGGTTTTAGAATTTAGCTCAAAATTAAATAAGTTATTTTTTATAAAATAATTGTCAATTAAGAAATTGAAGATTCAAGTTGACAAACTTTTTCTGACTAAGGCCTCATTTGTTTTCATTAAAATTAAGAGATCTAAATCGAATATACATCTGAATATTAAGATTTGCATTAAGATTTGAGTGTTTTGATCTGAATACACATCTGAATATTAAGATGTGGTCTCTAAATCTGAACATGAAATAATTAATGTTGTTTGTTTTCAATATGTGGAAGTGAAATTGAATATATATTTATAAAATATTATAAAATTTCCATTTCAACAGAATATATCACTTTTGATTTCAAAAAAAATAGTTTAAAAGTTTTGATAATCATGATTTGGAGTACTATTTTTTGATTAAAAAACCTTGATAAAAAACAATATACCAAAAATATTATTGCAACTAGCGTTCTTGACACACATCAACACAAGAATATTATTAATATAAAAAAACACTTGAAAGGATTTATGAAAACTTACCACTTGGAGAAAAAATGGTGTTTGATTGAGAAAAGTGAAAAAGAAAGTTTCTTTTTTAGTTATGAGATAAAAAGGTGCGCCCAAAGCAGAGAAGTTATGATTTATTATTTGATAACTTATCAAATGAGTCTGAATGTTGTTAAGAGTCTCTTACAGATCTGATTCGTTCAGACCTCTTCACATACATTAAGAGATTTTTTTAAAAATAAAACAAATGAAGACTAAATCTAAATGATTCAGATGCAGATCTAAAAATCAAACGTACTTAATGGGTTGAATCTGAATGATTAAGATTCAGACCTAAAAATTAAACGTACTTAATGGGTTAAATGTAACGACCTGTTTAGTCGTTTTGAACAACAGATTTTATTTCTGGAAAAACAGGCTGAGGCGACGGACCCTACGACGGACCGTCGCAGAGTCTCGTTTCAAAACACTTAGAAAATCTGAAATTGGGTACTGAAAATCGACTCTCTGAACTTCGTAACGGAATGGCAGGACGGACCGTCACAGACTCTTCAGAGAAATTGAGTCTCTGAACTCTGTGACGGGGCAGCAGGACGGACCGTCACAGGCGCGACGAGCCGTCACAGACTGCGTAATCCCAGTCTGGGTCGGATTTCTTGATACGTTTTAAGGGACGTTTTTGACTATTCCTGCTTTAATTATAAAGTTAGTGGGTTAATGTTAATAAGTCTAATTACTTGGGGGATAAAAGAGGTAACCTTAAGTTAATTAGTGGGTTATTATTGCCATCTTTTATTCTTAATTATATGCTAATTAGGGTAAAAGAAAGAGGATTTGAATAAGAAAAAGAAAAGAACGGAAAGAGAGAGTCGATAGAGAGAGACGAACGAAGAGGAAAAACACAAGGCTTTGGGAAATTCTTGCTTAATCACTAGTCTTCGGTGGAGGTAGGTTATGGTTTTTATACTATTCGTAGTAAACTCTTAATAGCGAATGATATGTATGGGTAGTATTGTAAACCCTTCTATATGCTTAATTGTATGCTTGCATGAATGTGATTATGTAATTGTAATAAAATAAGCATGATGAAACTATTGAATCCTAAATCTTGAAAAAGAAACCCTAATCTACTTTGTTAATGATGATGCCTTGGTATAAAGGAAGGCTTGATAAACGAAAGTAGTGAGATTAGGGGATCGGA